GCTCGGACGGAAACGACGACCGTTGAGTGATGCAGTCGAGCAGTTTCTAAAACATCAAGAGGTGGCTCGAGAAGATGCTAAGGTGCGATCAACTATTACATTCACAAAATCTATTCTACTAAATTTGGTACATAGTAGAGGTGGTACTTATTACATGATACTGGTTGAAAACCTGTAGTTAGTAGTGATTCAGTTACCTGTTCATTTGAAGATTCTGAAAACTATCAGGCAATCGGCAAATGAATAATTGGCTTGTTCTTACCCAATGATCTGTTATCCTACTATAATCTTGGTTCAACATTATCAATTTGGAATTTGAAGTTTTAAGGAGGAATTTTCGAAGATTTTCAAAAGTTATTTCAGAGTATCAATGTAATACTTACAGGATCAAGCCATCATCGCATCACGAAGTGCGACAAGAAAGGAGAAGAAGAAAGTGAAGGCGCGATATGCGACACGGCATAAGTTTGATCCTCCATCGCAGGTTCCATCGGTTATCGGCTCACCTACTGAGCGCAAAGATGTTGAGGTCGGTTGCTTGATGATTATCCCCTGAGCATATTCACTCGCCACCTTTTTCGCAGTTAACTTCACACTAATGAATATTCCAGGATAAAGCGTTCTTCTCACGATTTCTGCATGACCTTCAACGTAAACTTGGCGTCCTCAATGAAACTGAACAAACGCAACAGGCAATGGCGTTACCGACAATTCCGGGTAGATTGATTGTCTCTATTTTTTGGGCTCGGACCAATTTAAGAGTCGTTATGATCTCGTTGGTCATTGTCGTTAAGGTCATCATTGGAATTAATGAACTGCAATTCTGCGAATCTTTGGAATCCATTCGAATAAACATAGCACTGATCACATTCCTAAAACGAGTTCTTTGTGTTTCAGAAGGAAGAGTACTCAGAGAGTCGCCGGACTCGAGTGAATCTGGTGAGTCGGACGGGTCTGACAGTTCAGATAAAAGCGCAGGATCGAGTCAGAGTAATTCCACATCTGGGTCGGTGGATCCGAAGACACGACGATCGAATGCGATACGTGGAAGTGCTGAAGGTCACTNTAAGTCGTGAAATGAATTTAAAAGCTTGACTTCGCCGTGATAAGGTGTGCTTATCTAATGTAAAACTGCTCATTCCAGCGATCAAAGTGGTGGACGCAGAAGCCGCACCAGTGTTACTGCGTTCGACCAAGTATTGTTCGTCAACTAGTAGGCCAGCACTGATTTTTGACGATCAAGCCGCTCTTACGGGTACAAATTTGCTCGTTATAGTGAATTTTATTGGCTTTATCGAATGAGTTCTGGTCTCGAAGGTAAACTTGACGGTTCCAAGAAATTGAAATCACGAGATCGGTGTGAACAACTCGATTTTCAGCGCATTCCGTATCTGAAACCACACTACGAACAGCGCATATGCCAGACGCAGTCGTACGTCCACTGCGTTCGCACATCATCTCACTTCTTGAAGCGTTGATACCAGCACTGGATGTTAACGATCTTGACAAAACAACAGTCGCCTTTGAGGTCGTTAACTTATGTTTTATTATCTATCGTGATCGGAAAGATGAGTAAGAAGGATAATGAGAAAGGCTGAAGGAGAAGTAATTTACGTTATTAAGCAATTACAATCGAATTGAACGATCATAATTCATCTTGCTTTTAGAGTATTCAACGTCTTTTTTCACTGATCAAAATTGTTGACTGCTCGGGCGCTTTGGACGTGCGCGACGATCTGTCAATGGAAGAGATTTATCTGTGTCAAGAGACTGGCCGTATTCCGGATATAGTGAATTTGTTTGTGGATAAGTTAGTGAATTAGTCATCTGGATATAGTCAATCTTATAGAATTGTTTCATTGTGTTCCAAAGTGAAACATGCTTGGGCCAGAGGATGGATTGAGTAACTGACATTTTGTGTTCGTTGATCAAAGAGAATGATCATCTTTGTGATGTGGTGCGGTAATGAGATGAGATTTGTTACGATCAAGAGTTTCTCTCGAGGAAATGATATGACTCAAACGATGGATGCGAAGATTGTGACTGCTTTGAGGATTCTATCGATGGTCGAGATGTGTGCCGTATCGATCCCGAAGTCTTCATCACTCGCTCTCGGCTCACTGTCGGACGTTGAGGGGGATCCGCTGAATGAGGATGACGTTCTTCTGAAGAAATGCGCCATCAACGCCTTTAATGCCCTACTCGACAATTGCTCATTGGCCATTTTAACGGTTTCTATTCCATCCTTTCATGAATGATTTCATCACAGTCACATTTCACTACGCACAAACCATGAATATCACTCGCTTATCGTCAATCCTTATCATTCTGGATAGTATCATTCATCCAAATTGTTGTTAAAGAAGAGTAATGTGTTTGTAGAAGTAACTTGCACCCAGTACAGTTGCCCTCCTAGATGGATGAATGCTGTTGAATCATGAAAATTTATTGCATGAAATTTATTGACGAATAATAAGTTCTGTTTTCAGTCAATTGTGGATAAACT